TTATATGGTGTTGAATTCTTTAAAAATAGGTCTTAATTCAAATCCACATGTCTTGGGGTTTAAAATAATTAATAATTTGTTTTTAGTGATATTTATTAAAGAAAAATAGGGATGACAATTGTGATTTTTGTGAATTATATTAATCATTGAAATTTAGTGCTGTAAACGTTACTTCAAAAAAGAAACGCTTTATCCGTTACATTTCAAAAATGGAACGCGTTACTATTATATTACGTTACCTCGCGAAAAAAGGAACACGTTACTCGTTACTTAAAAATACTAAAATATTATATAAATTTCTTTTTATTTATTTTTTTCCCCATAGATAATAAAAATAATTTATACAAAAATAAATAAGATAAGTTTTTTTGTAATGATTTTATATTTATTTTTAACAACAATTGATTTTCAAAATTTGATTAGATAAACAAGTACGCTTAGTGATCAACATAGGTTTCTGTGTAAACACTCCAACCCGCAGATGATGGGAGGTTTGTATTATATTTAATAAATAAAAATTTTAATTGGAGTAATTTATAAAAAAATATTTAAAATATGGTCTTATTTTCAAAATATCTTATTAGATTCATAAGAATTTCATTATGAACCTCATCAATTTTTTTAAAACTTAATCTGAATTTAATCTGAATTCATGTGTTTAGTGTCATATACTTTTTTTAGATTTGAGCTTGGACATTGAAGTTGAGATACTTGAATTAGGGCACAATCTACACCTACAAAGTAAATTTAGTGTCTTTTGTTTCATACTGGGCCATCATTTTATCTGGAGAAATAACTACTATTGACATTCTTTATAAAATAAGTTATAATATTAGAGAACATAAATTAACGTATCTTGATTGGTTCAATATTGATAAGATTAACCAACTTGTCTGCATAAAATTCATTAACAAAAATATAATAAATAAAATAAAAATGAAGAACTTTGGTGGATCTGAATTGAAAACTCAGCTTAAATTATAACGAGTAAGATCTTGCGTTTCCATTACTCTTAAAATAAACTCGTTAAATTTCGAAACAAGTAATGAACGACGTTCCTTTCATCGACTTTATTTTACAGCAATATTGAAATTACATCAATATATATCGAAAATTTACATTTAATGCCAAAAAAATAAAGTTTTAAAATAATAGACGCGCTAATTAAATAAAACTAATATAGAGTCTTGTTTAGCTTATCATTCAGAAAATGTTATTAATTTTTAAAAAAACAGGTAAATTTATCAAATATCAAAAAAACTTTAGCCATTACTAAAATACACATCCCTACGCATTCTTGATAATTATTATTTTTAAAAAATGAATGTACAATCATGTTTAACTTTTTAAAAGGATCCAGAATGTTAATATTCATTTAAATTTTGCTAAATTAGTGGATATTGTACTTTTCAAAATTATTAATAATAATAAATATAAATATTTTTTATATCGCGAACAGAGATGATTATTTTATATAAAAATAAATAAATAAAAACATCAATATTGATAAAAATGACTTGACATTTAGAAAGATTATATAATCATGTTTATAAAATTTATATTGAAATGCCATTATAATTTTTTGATATTTATCTTAAAGAGTACCACAGGCGCGTAACCAATGGGGGGGGGGGAGGGGGAAATTTCACCCCCCATAGCAAATTTGACTGTTTTTCTAAATATTATTTTAAGATAATAAAAAATTTTACCCCGACCCCCGGACCCCCTCCCTCCTGCTCCATCAAAATTTTTCAATATCAAGCAGAGTTTATCCTTACTACTAGTTGCATTAATAAATGATTTTCCTATAGCTCACTACTATGTAGAAATTTACAAAAACAAAATTTCGATTTGGTTCAAGTTATTGATTTGGAGGAAAATGTGGACAGGAAGAATGAATGTAGTTGAATATTTCATAATATTTATATAGACGCTGAATCAAACTAAATCTTATAAAATATCCAATTTCATTCCATTCTTAGATACTTTTTTATCGCAAATTAAAGTACGGTTTTTAGATAAAAAACAAGTCCTTTGGTAATCTTCAAATTTTATTACCTAAAGACCCTTCTTCGTTTTCTGATGCCATTATTGGTATAATTAAATATTTAGCAAAATTTTGTTCCTATGATGTTGATACTGAAATCAATTTAATCAGTGAATTCGAATTGTGGTATAAATATTTACTACGTTTATTATTTTACCTGAGCATGCTATTGATGCGCTCAATCGGTATAAGGAGGCTTAATTTCCAAATATTTTGAAGGTATTTAATATTCTTGCATGTTTGCCTATTACAACATATACGAATGAAAGGAACTTTTTCAAATTGAGAAGGTTGAAAACTTATTTACAAAATACTACTTCTCGGCTAAATGGGTTAGCCATGTTAAATATCCACAGAGATTTATTTCCAACGACAAAGAAAATTCTTGATGAATTGGAAAAATTCCCACGAAAATTAAAAATCGCATTATAATTCTAGTATTTAATAAATTTTTTATATAATATTGTATTTAATAAGTTATAAAAACTTGTTCTTTAAAAAATTTTCTAGTCAATATTTTATACACACTACAATTAGAATTTTCAATCAAAAAAATTTTATATTTATATTATATGAGAATTTAAGCTGAGGCTAGTTTTTAAAGCAAATTTATAAAAAAAAAAAATGACACTAAACTTTATTTCAATTTTATATTTTTTAAAAAAAATTTATCTATAATATACCTAACTTAAAATAAAAATTGGGTTATAACTTTTATTTCTTCTTATATTCATAAGCGCGAATTAGTAATCAGGAGACCCAAAAGAAAGCGACTACTTACGTCAACGCATAGGAATTCAGATTATAAAATCTAATTTTACACGCCATAGGTTCATTCCTCGAAGCCGATTAATCTAGATTTTCTTCTTCTTCCCTAAATTATTTAAACCCCCCCCCCCCCCCTTCTTCATATAATCATTTGCATTTATTATATTTCTATTATATCTATTATTATACTTTTCTAATATATAATTATAGAAATACTATAAAAAGCATATTTTCATTTAAATAATACTTTCAATTATTTATAAAGATGATGAAGTCCTTGTTTGTTAAATTTCTTTAATCTTCTAGAATTATGTTTTGGACATGATTTTATTTTTATACTATCATTTTGTCAGATTTAATTTGTCTTTATTAATAAATGTTAAATTTAAAAATTATAAAAAAAATTTCTTAAATAATTAATTTATAAAAGGAACCAAAATTCAAATAAAAGTTAAAAATATTAATATAATTATTATTGAATTATGAATAATTTAAAAGAATAGATCAAAGATATGACCCGGCCGAAGGTGAGGAAAAAGCTGGCCAAAGGGGGTTTGGAGGCAAAGTCCCCAAAAAAATTCCCCCCCCCCTATAGGAAAATCCTGGATACGCCACTGGAGTACCACATATGGCAGTTATAATTTGAAAGTGAAAATATCATGCATGCTGATTTTCAAGATTTCTTTATAGGGATATGACATGAGTAATAAAAATTATAAAATTTAAAAAAATTTATAAATAAGAAAACAGGAGCTACATAGTGATCTGCATCGGGCCTAATTTTTCAAGCTCGGCCCGGACCGCGAAATTTTTTTTACAAAAGTTTTGCCGGCCCGGCCCTAACCCCGACCCAGCCCGGCCCGATGCTTCCGAAATTTTATTTCTAAGATACTTGGTGGAAATTTTTTAATAAGATACAAGATGATCTTTACACAAATAATATACCAAATTATTAAACTCAAATTTTCACAACTTGCTGCATCATTTCTTACTTTTGTTATAATTGTTGAGATAGATTTCCACACTATTTCTGCCATAATAGATATGACTTCATTTTGACTTTGAGGTGATGTGAATTATTTGGTATTGATTTTATAATTTTTTCATCTTTTTGGCAGGTGTTTCCATCTACAACATCAGTTATTGAAGTAGAATCAGACCCCCAGGGAGACTTATGCTAGAAATTATATCAAATCAAATATCGATTTCAAATAATATCAATTAAGCTCAACTTGATGGATCGTTATATTTTGGTATCTTTCTTACTATTTTTATCAAGTCATATTGAATTTAAATGACCTTTAGAGTTTCATGCTTTAACAATTTTTTTTTAATTTCGTCGTTATTTTATTTAGATTTAATGGTTAATGACTAAGGAAAATTAAATGACAAATATTTTTTGGAAATTTTGAGGCCAGAAATAATTTTGGAAACCTTTTTTGGATGCCAAAAAATTCCGGAGGCCAGAGAATTTTTTGTGGGGGAAGGACAGGTCTTTCCCCGTGGCCATGGCTTCAAAGTTATAATTTAAAAGAAGTCAAATGTGAATTCCAAGGAACGATTGCAATACTGGATTAAGTGTTATTGACATTGGCTTATTTCCGCGAGAATAAAGTTTGGATTAACGTATAATTATATTAATCTAAGTGAAGGGTTAAATATTCATCGCTATTATTATAAATATATCTTTTAAAACGCTTCCTATATCATGTATGAATAAACATAAAACTATTTGTTACTCATAAATACTCATTCATTAAATGGTGCACAAATACATATTAATTAAATTTTCATTTAATCCTGTAATTTCAATTAATGAATGCAATTGGTATTATTAGTCTCTCTCGTCTCTATATATATATATAATTAATTGAAAGTATAATAAATTACACAATTTTTTTTTAAAAAAGGAGGATATTATTAATAAATTATATAGAGTTTATTTTTTATAAATAATATATATAATAATAATAAAAATACGTCCTAAAAAATTATCATATTTTTATATTTAATACCTTAATCGATCCTTTGTACAAGATCTTAATGAAGATTTATATCAACTTTTTGGGGAATGCTTTATATCTTCGCTTCAACTGAATAATTTATTTTAAGATTATTATTATATTAATTTTACAAATATAAAATCGTTTATTATTTATTCTTTATTAATTTTTGAAATTAACATTTATATTCAAAATATTAGTTGTATAATCTACTCGTCTGTTATAGGTCCATTAGACATAGTTTCTTAAATTTTAAAAATATTTTAAATATTGATAATTGGTCGATCTCTATAGAAAAATTACTAAGATGTTAATGCTATTCTCAATCGTCTTTATGATATTTGCCAAAGCCTCATCACATTTTAATCAGAAAAGTAAAATTTGCATTATATGTTAAAGTTTTATCATGGAAATAAAAAAACTTAAATTAGATTTAATTAACGAATGTTTATATTTTGCAATTCATTTTATACTTAAAATATTATAATTTAATCTTTTACTAAGATATTCATACAATAATACACATAGAGAAACCCGATTTACAAAGTTAAAGCAGCCTTTTGAGACATTCATTTATTTTTATATTTAAAAATTTTTATTTGAAATAAATTTACAGGCTTCATTTTAAAAAAATATCTCTGATTTTAAATAATTTTATAAATTTCAAAAATTTATTTAATATGTGAAGATTTTAAATTTGTATATGTCAAATGAGATATGAAATCCATAGAGATTTGAAATCTTTATATTTTAAATCATTTACCGAGGAATTTTTTTAATTTGAAAAATCCGTTTGACAGAAAATGTAATATAAAATGTCTAGAGTAAGGGAGACCGAGATTATATTGTCCAAAAATGAAGTGATATAAAAATTAGATGAAGCAAATTTTCCAAAATATCTTAATTCAGTTTAATTATTTATATATCTCTATGCTAGAAATTAATATTTATGAAAAAAACTTTTAGTTTTAATTAATATAAAATTTTTTTAAAAAATGAAAATTTAAGAATAAAAAACACCCGGAGTATCTTTTAGCCTTTCACCTTTTTATTTTTAAAAATTTTTTAATACAAAAATTTTAATTTTAAGTAAATTAATGAGAATATATTATCAAATATTGTAAATGTAGCATGTTCATCCATAAAATATACATCACCCAAGAGAACTTGTTGTCACTTAAAACTGTCATATAATTTAAAAAAAACAAGTCAACCATATTCATATTGTCATTCGAGACCTTAGATAAACTCGCGGCTTCTGATATTCTCATAAATATAGTTGGATTTTTTTATATTAAAAATAAATATCTAAAAACATGCTAAAGATCTTCATATTTAGTTAAAATTTAATTTAAAGATATTAATATTAATATCAATATTTTTATATCTGACAAAATTAAGATTACTTATCACTTAGAATTGATATTTAGTCTGAGTAATTTATGTAAAAATATTTATTGGTAAAAATGTAAAAAATTAAAAAGTTACTATTGATCTGTTAAAATTTTAATTTGCATTTAAAACTTTACATAAATATATTTCTGCGAAATAGAAGCATCTTGTTAAAATACATTCATGATTTAAACAAATAACACTATTCCCGGTCTCTCCTATCCATATTGTAGATTTCAGGTAATTTTTCTGTGAACTTTTGAACTATTCTTATTTTATATTTATATAACAAAATTTATGGCCAAAATTAACTGAAATTCATAGGATAGGTACAAGGCTGGAATACACTTTTTTTAAATCAGGTTTTTAAAATGTAAAAATTCCTTTGAATAAATAATACAAAAATGAGAGATTTCTAATTGTAATCAATTATTTCTGATAAACATTTGTCAGGTATATTCAAAAATTAATTAAATACATCTTATTTAGGGTTTTCTAATATGATATTTCAAATTATATTGATCTAGTACAAATCATCATTGAATATATAGGGAAGTATTCTTGATAATGGTATCGATAGCGAGAGATTTATTTTCACCAAAAGATTTTTCTTAAAGTCAATCGTTCCAGCTTTTTATTCATTTACTTCACATGTGTGATACCCCCTCTCTCTTTTTCTACATAGGGGAGACTAGGGTTAGGTAAACCCTGGGGCTTGTCAAAATTTCATTTTAAAATTAAATTCACCAGATGGTTAAAATTTAATCCTAATATAGTTTCTATTAGTTTACACCTATAGACAAAAAATCTTTTAAAATAATTAATTATTAAAAATTTTATTTAAGAAATAAAATTTTGATGAAATTTTCAAAAGATTTTTACAAGACAGAATTTTAATTTTTATTAAAATATAATAATTTATATGTGAAATAAATTTTATAGGAAAATTTAAACACTCTTCTATAATTTGGGTAAATTTTATGAGTATTTATTATGTCTAGATATCATTTCAATTATGATTTGCCAATTTAGAGCTAGCGGGGCTTGCTAAACCATATACATCAATTATGATAGTTAATAATGAAAAAAATTAAAATCTTGAATAGGCAATTTCATGGCTGTTTATGATTGGTATTTAGGATTTATGCTAAGATGTCATAATCTCAAGATCCTTATTTTTCTTTATCCAAAATATTAACCTAAATTATGTTTCAATTTTTATATATAATTAGCTTCAATTTAGTATTATGATATTTTGAACATTACAAATAATATTATACGTATCATTATTAATAAATGAAAATTCATTTCAATTTATTAACAAATGGTTTAAGAAACCTCTTGAAGTGGGTTGTCTCACCCCGCTATTGGGTTTTTGGACAAAATTTCCACATTTACAAAAAATAAAATTTAAAAAAAATCATTATATTCTTAAAATTTTTATATAAGGCACCTTTATAGAGTATAGTCTTAGATATCTAATCATATATTATTTTTCATATTATCTAAAAACCAGGAACTATAGCTAATTTTGTAAAAATCGGTTCGATTAACTCCAGTCTCCCCCTAACATGCCTTTTAAAAATTTAATTTTGATCGAAATATTTTATATATAAACAATAAAATTTAAAATTCTATTTTAAAAGTGACCATTTTCTCTCATAAATATAATTGTAAATTTAGAAAATAAGATAATTTACACATCTTTTGCAGATCTATGTTTTGTACCCTAGATGCTTTGATAGTTGTGTTCCCATAAAATATCACGAAAGATAAACTTTATTTAAAAATCTCGTATGAATGTCTATATGTTAATCAGATTATCAGCATGTTGAGATTTTTTTTATTTTTCAGTTTTAACTTGTTGTTTATTGTTTTGCCTTATATACTCTTTTAATCAGGCGGAATAAGCCGACTCACACTTTTAATTTGTTAATCGATAATATGATTTATATATAATTTGAAATAAATATTCTTTCTGGTCCAAACAAATTATATAAAATACTTTGGCTGCGCCCTCATTTATGAACTACTAGATACTAGAGATCTGCAAAGTTAGGCCCGACCCGAGTCCGGCCCGGCCCAAACGGGCTTCGGGGGCTCGTGTCTAATTTTATTTAAAATAATCGGGTTCGGGCCGGGCCTAATATTTTAAATAAAATTTTGGGGCCGGGTCGGGTCGGACCTTGGAAATTTTATTAATATAAATTTATCAATTTAATATAGAATTTTTTATGTAATTTTTGATTTAATTTATTGAAACTAAATGCTATATAACATATGTATATTATTTTAAGTAATAATAAAAATTAATTTCTATATTTAAATAAATTCGGGTCTGGCCAGGCCGATAAATTTTTTAAATAAATTTCGGATTCGGGCGGGGCCGGCAAAACTTTTTTAAAAAAAATTTCGGGCCGGGCTTGATTAGGCCCGATGCAGATCACTAGTAGATAGTAGATACCTCAAAGAATCAGTAATGGAAAGTCAAAGAAAATATTGCTAAATTTAAAAATTTGGAAAATATTAAACAATGAAAAATATCATTAAAACAAGTAGAATATTGATCAAAATCTATATTCCAAAAATAATATTATAATTCAACATCATTAAAAAATCGATTTTAGTAAATATATTCTAATATTTTGAGCTTTCATCTTTAAGTATTATATATACTTTTGAATCTAAATCTTGAATAGTTTGATGATTGATATATTCCTAAGAACTTCAATAGCTTATTTTTCTACCATAAAAATTTTAATCTAATTGATAATACATTTATTAGTTATTACTAAGAAATAAGGAGTTTCAAGTTTCAATAATATTATCAGATCGATTTTTATAGGAGAAATAAGCGTTAACGATAAATCTATTTTTTAATTTCCTTTTTCATAAATATTAATTTAAAATAAAATCCGTTAATTTAAATTTTAATTAACTTTTTAATAAATATTATATTTCTAGAACATTAGATTAAAAATAATTTTAAACTTGCATTTTCCCATTAATACAATTAAACTATAACAACGTGTTTAATTAATAGGGATTTTCAGCTAATTTAATAGCTCAAAATAAACATTGAAATGGTAAAAATAAAAAAAAATCCTTAAACAATCAGAAAATTACAAAAAATATTGAAGGAACATATTTATGCTTTAATGCTCAGGTAATACAAAAAAATATTTAGGCATTATAAAAATAGATATAAAACTGAAGATTCTTAGATTTCAAAATGAATTGCTTAGAATAATATATAAAACCCTTAAACCAAATAATTGAATTGGTAAGAAATAAAAAAAAATTTAAGAACAATAAATTAATATCTAAGAAATTTTACTGATTTTGACTCAATTTTATTAAATGTGCGAAGATTTTGTTAAGTAAAAATTTGGATTTGCTCAAAAAAAATTTAAATTTTACTCATAATTTTTTCCTATTTCTAATATTTGCTTTTGTTTTGAGTATTTTTAGCTGAAATGCTTATTAGACTTGAAATTTACTATTAAACTGAAATTCTCAAAGAAATTTTTAATTGCCCAGTAGTTACAAATCTATTTTTCAGTGGTTTCAAATAAAAGGTTAAAATTATTCAATAAAAATGGCAATAATCTTAACATTCTTTATATTTTCTTCAACAAATTTTGTTCCTTGTTTTTTGTAGCACAATCTTTTATAAACTCTTTTAGCGTAAAAAAACGATTTATTTTTTAAATTATTTTGCTTTATGGAATGCAATAAGTTTTAATCAACCTTAGCCTTACTAAAATCCATAGCGTGTACTTCAAAAATTATACACTAAGTTTATATTAATAACTATACCATAGGACCTCCCCCACCAATTTTTTTTATTATTATCGCTAACCTCTCCCCTCCTTCCTCCTTCACTAGTGAAGGGGAGGAGAAATACAGATATAGAAACTAGAAAATATTTGTCCAAGGGTAGTCTTGGGTGATTCTCATATAGGGTGCGGATATGCTTTAT